AGCTCACGATAAGTAGTTTAACCAGTTCCACCTGTTTAAAAATGTCATTTGTTTAACATACATCCGTAATTAACATAAGCACAATTTGTCGGTTGTTCACACAAATCGTATTCAATAATTTATTACCACAATTGAAAAAAATGAAATGAAATGAAATAATATTTTATTTCCCATTAATTATTTACAGACAAGTACATTGTATTTTTTTTCTTTTCTTAAATATGAAACAGCAAAATATTACTAACTAGATAACAAAACAAAAATTATATACTGTAGAAATAAGTAAATAAAAGTGTTAAAAAAAATACATTCTATAAGAAAGGAAAAAGTCTACATAGGCAGGAGAGGTGGGGTGTAGTGTATTAGTCAGTCAGTGAAAGTGGTGTATCAGTGATTGTGTAGGGTCAACGGTCAGGTCCACCCAACGCGATAACGGCCTCGGTGTCCTCTGTACTCAGACCAACAAGCCACCCCACAACATGCTTCTTAAATAGAGAGAGAGAGGGTGAATTTAGAATGTTGACATTTTGATATCTGTTACACATGTTACGATAAATGATTTGGGTTAAGTGAAAGCAATTCGTATTTGAAAATGATTTGAAAGTTTGTGGAACACTTACACCAACATTTCGAGAAAAGCGCGTATTGTGGGGATGAGTAATTTTTACAAAAATATTATCAAAGTTTTTGTACATGTGAACTAAAATAAATTTTAAAAATAACTGCCTGACTGTCAAAACTCCCGATTCTACAAAAAGATCGTCAGTTGAATATCTAAAGTGTTTTTTAAAAGCAACTTTAAGTATTGTTTTCTGCACTACAAAAACAGGTTGCAAGATAGTTTTGTAAGCACCACCAAAAGCAATAATTCCAAAAGACAACAATGATTGAACATATGCATAGTATGCTATTTTAATTTCTTGCTCTTCGAGAATATCACTAAGTTGCCTAAATGCATAAATATATTTACGTAATTTATTTTTTAGGTATTCAACATGTTCCGACCATTTCATCTTTGAATCAAAAACAATACCAAGATATTTGTATGAATCAACTTTTTCAATTTTGCTACAAAAACAAGAGTTATTGAAATGATTTCCACAGACATGAATAGTTAGGTTATCAAGTTTGTATTCGGTTATCTTGCGTAATGAAATTGGCATAAATTTTGTTTTAGATATATTAAGGGACAATACATTTTGATCAAGCCATTTTTTTAGTAAACAGAGGTCTGATTCTGCCTTGTTTTTAACCTCCTCCCAGGATGCTCCGGTTACAAATATTAGAGTATCATCAGCAAATAATGTTAATTTCCCTTCTGTTTGAATTTTAGAAATATTATTAATATAAATGAGGAATAAAACAGGACCAAGGGTCGAACCCTGGACTACACCATACTCCACTGGCAATACATCGCTTGCCACTTCACCAAGTGCGACAGTTTGCAGCCTATCAGAGAGGTAGCTGCTGAACCAAGCGAGCGAGGTGCCACGCACCCCGACAAGCTCAAGTTTACGCAACAACCTACTTCTGTCCACTGAGTCAAAAGCTTTTTTCAAGTCTAAGAAAATTAACATGCTTCGTTTGTTGCCATAAATTGCCTCGTTAATGTATTTATTAATATCAAATAAAGCATCAGATATGTTTTTGTCACTCCTGAAACCATACTGATTTTCACTTAAAATATTGCACTGGTGGAGGTAAAAAACAAGTTGGTCTTTGGCAATTTTCTCTAAAAGCTTAGCAATTACACTTAACAAAGAAATCGGACGATAGTTATTCATACAAAAATTATTTTGACAAAAAAAAACTGGTGACAAGTCATGGGGATGGAATGTCTAGTTGTATCAATAGTTCAAGATTTAATTCTGTGGGGTATCAATTTCAAATCGGATAACTCGTCTATTCAATTAAAATTATTTATAGCTCTGTGTTATGATAGAAAAGTTTGTACAGTAACTTGAACTAAAAAAGTGCACCCCTGTGGTGGGATTTGACCCCGCAATAGGACAACCCTTGATGGCGTGCCTACACCTACACATCTACCAACTGAGCAACAGGGGCTGTGATTGGTCGTGTAAAATACCTTCACCATGCCCGAGCAACTCCCTCGACTTCGAGCGGCACGTCACGTCACAGCTGATGTGGCCAAACATTGCCTTTGTAGCGTTCTTTGGTTCAATAGTCTAAATAATGGCTGTAATTTCTGAAGAAAAAAAAACACTGTCAAAGTGTCTCATGTTTCCTCTAAATACATTGAATCAATTAGGTGCGTTATGGCGGCAATCGTATTTTCCATTCTCTGTAACCTAGAAATAATGCTCCAAATGTTAAGTTTTAAACTAAAAGCTAAATAATCGGTCAAGTGACGAATCAACCACGAATCAACAGTGACACTAAAATAAATTTATCGTAAGAGGTTGACACCAAGTGTTGAATATGATATATTCTAAGCTGGTGACGTAAACAAACTACAGTAATTATCAGTTTAGTTCACAATATAATGCAATACAACACGTAAAAACTGAAAAAAATAATCAATACTAGTGTACATGTTGCAAGAATTCGAGCAATTGCAGTTATTTCAAAACGAATAACAGTCATATTTACAATGAATTTAAGAGTCAACTCAAAGATTACTGATGTGTAACTCAGACAATGTTTATCTTCGTTATTGATAAACCTAGAGCATTCCGGCCGGTTTTCTCCTTCTCAAAATCCCTCGCTGTACGTGCAACATAGGTCATTGATAGAGAGCCAATTGAGAACGAAAAGTCGTTTTGGGTTAGTGCTAAGGGCGCATTTGTAACCTAATAGTTGAGATTGCCCAGGGTCAGGTGCTGACTGTGATGAGTTAAGCCTATTACGCGCCAGCGTTCTGTAGCTGCGGTCGTTATCACGATTACGCCTCCTGTCTATGTTTCGTTGTCGTCACGTCGGAGGCATTTAAAAGAAAAAACAACAAATAAACAAATTATAGCAACATAAAACAACGATAAATGCACAAATTTAAGTTACAATCATGCTAACACGACCCGTCATAGCGACACAAAACAATGATAAATACACAAATCTAAGATACAACCATACTAACACGATCCGTCTTAAGGGGTTATGTTTACACAAACTCAAATAGTAAATAAATGTACTCAATGCGTTTCATATGGTTTCATTGAATTGAAAAATAAATAACATTTAAATTATACAGCTGATCAAAATGTAAACAATTAAGTTCTTCATAAGGATAACATGGGAACTTTCAAAGCCACTGGGGCAGAGCCCAAGGGACTTTTTTCAAAAATGTAAGGCCAGTTTGCAAATCTATGCGACACGCTCTTTCCAATGAGACGTCAATGGATAAAATCGGTTAAGAAATGGCGGAGGAGTTCAACCGACAAAGTTTCATGTAGCGTATTAATTATATAGATTTCCCACCTTCAGTGTGTAAATACAACAGACACATGTTTCCATCGCATTGAAGGCTTGGTCCAATCTGGCAAATTTAGATTGAACTTCCACCGTAGTTATATTTTAGAACGTTTTGATCTACTCTGTAAATACGGTTAAAGGTAACTAACTTTTGCATCAAAATGATCGGGGTGATTAGACCTTTTAATTGATGTATCACACAACTCATATTTAAATTGTAAACTTCTCAAAAAACAACCCTACCTCCCAAATTGGACCCGAATTGAAAATAATTGTATTGGATTCGGCAAGGCCAAGTTAGTAGGAAATGAGAACGGACAAGTGTCAAAAGCCTTACCTTTGTACGCTATGGACAGTTTTCAAATCAACACCCTGTGTATATATATTTATGTGTGTATACATGAACGCAATAACTTGAGTATTTTGTCCGATTTTGATAAAATCTTTATTAAAGGTGTAGGGAGGGATAAACTTGAATGGGTTCGCGAACCAGAGTGATCGGACCAACGGGTTTTGTGGGAGGTTTGCAGGGTAAGGAGCCAAATTTGATTATTTTAGGTAAGTTTATGTCTTCATTATAAATACATTGGTTGATACAATTAACCTAACTTGGTGTGGTCGGTGCAACAGAAAAGTACAGCAAAACCAAATCTTTATGCTTAAAGGTCATGTTGTTAAACTGTTTTGGATACTCATTACAAATTCTTGCATCTATTTACTAGTCAGTAGATGTTCCTCGTCAATTGACGATTGGCTCTATTAAGAAAAGACTAATAGTGAATGAGTTTTGGCTACAAGTAAATATTATTGTTTTACGTATATAAACTTACTTTGCCCACTGAGGAAATCAACCATCGTCACCATCCTAATACTAGAGGTTCAATCCCGTTCCTGTGCACGCAGAAGTGGATAATATTTTCCAGTATTAAAACTGAAAAGTAAATTTGGCAAAACATCCGTATACAGCTTAAAACCTATAATTAAAAGTTTGCTGGTTATTAAAGCAATGTTATGGTTTAAAACGTTTGGTTTTCAACTTTTCTACGTGAAAGCCTTAATCTTTAATAATGAATTAAACTAATATCGACTAACTGCCTTTTCTTAAATGATTGAACAGAGTCTCATGAGGCATTTTATTTGTTAAGCAGACAACCATATTCCTCTATGTATTAAAAATAACTTTCATATCAGACATTCTCTTAATCAGGTTTTAAAAGTTTTTGATTCAATCCAATATGTCTGTAATATCCAACTTGTAGAAGGTTCTTGCGAGTTTTTAAGAAATCGACATTATCAGAGGGAGAGTAATGACTGAAGCAGCTTCCGAAAACTCGGAAAGTTCTATGTACATTTTTGTGATGTAGTTATTATTTAAATAGATTAATACACATGGTTGTCTGAATTTTACAGTTAAATGGCTAAATTTTTGTTTGGATAGAAAGGGCCTAGTACTATGAAATGTTAATTACACTAATTATGTTTGTTCTAGATGAAATTTAATTACCGTAACGCAGATGTAATAGGTGTCATTGTTTGGAGCAATACGATGTTAATCTGTTACGCAAATTCGAGTTTATCAATACGTACATTGTAAAACTCAATAAACTCAAAATTGTCATTACGATCATATTAAAACTGTGATTAGTCTTACACTGCTAACCCAAGACATTGTGGCGTAAGGAAGTATTATAAAATATTTCAACATTATGAAACTATTTGCATTACTTTTATTACTAGCTTGTATGACTGCGATAGAATGCGAAGTAAGTATCATATTTTTATATATCGTTGTTTTATATAGGCATACTTTTAAATCCTATTAAAAACACTTGCGATTTGAGAGTCTTTAAAAAGAAACCAATTGCACTAGATAGAAACGAGTTTGTGTGATAAAATAATAAATATAAAAGCGTATAATTATGTCATTTGTTGTTTACATATTGTAGAATCAGAAATCAGATGTCTTAATTGTTTCATATAGTGTTTAAAGAAAGTGTATTTCACACACTGACGTCTAACACACATGCCTACTTGTACTTAGCTATATAACAATTCATTCCTAGGTCAAAAACCTGTTTGGGATGTATTCTTACATGTAAATATAAAATAGCTTAAACAACAATAGTTACAGTGTCCCTCCAAAAAAGCCACTTTCCTAACTCCTAAATACTCCAAATACCTAAATAAACCAATATTGTCGGGTTCACCGACATCAAATTTAACACACTACATTATGTTAACTTAGAACAAAAGTTGTTTATATTTCACCCGTGAATGGAATGAAATTTAAGCTAGGATATTATAAACAAGAAGCAATAAGTGTTTAACGTAAATTATGGAATTGTGGTAAGAAAGACTCGTATAATAGTTTCATAATATCGACCCACAAAACTAACCGAACGTAACCTATAGATATATCCATACCATAATGTCGATTAAATATTCATTGCTGTTTTATTTCAAATTATTTTCATTATTACCAGTGTAACACTTAGGTTCCTACGATTCAACCTATTAAATTGGATTTAAACCTTAATACACCTTCAGTCTATTTCCTGTGGAATTTAATCAATCTTTGACTTCTCGTAACACCCTAAACGATGTTCAAAAATGACATTTTTCTACAGATACCTGACAAAGTGGGCTTTATTGCACTGATTATAGCACGCAAAGTAGCTAATTCCTGCATTTACCTTTTGCCACACTCATTTTACTTCGTCGCATTCCAGTATTTCAACCAAACAACACAAAATGGTGTGCTTATATTAGACACATAATACGTGTATGCTTGAATACAAGTTGGCAGCACTTAAAGGTTGTTGTGTTTCCCAACCACTGATACTATTGTCGTTCAACGCTTGGATTTAACGTAAAAAGTGTTGATTAGTCTTTGAAATATTAATTATAAATGCTTTATAGTGACACAACGTAAAATATCATGTGTAACGCGAGCGCCATGATGCCAAAATGATTTGCCAAATGATGTAAGCCAAAAAGTAAAATGAAAAACTATTTAAAACGCACACGAGATAGGCGGGTGCTGAATGTTTCTCGAGTGCAGCAAAGGCCATTTGCGCTCGTGTTACACATTATATTTTTCCTACAGTCACTATAAATCATCCAGTATAAATAACTAGTCTTTCATCACTATACAACACGTTTTTTGGTTAAGTTAAATCGAGGCGTTGAACGGAATGGGAAACTCTGCAACAGCTGATTATAGTCTTAGTATCTTTAAGTGTTACTTATTTTAAAGAGTACAATAAACAGAATAAATAAGTAATTTTTAACTTTCTTAGTTATGCACCAAGAAGAAAACAGTTCTTGTGCTCGTTCATACTTCTTTCTTGATTTTTCAGGAAACAGGTTAATGAAACATGTTATGCAGTTTCTGCTACATATTTCTTCTGGTGTACACTTGTATTAACAATCACTGAGTTCATTACTCTCAAACATGTTAGGCCCACTTATAAATATTGTTTCACTAGGTTATGTTCAAACCAAGCGTTGAACGAAAATAGAATATAAACACGAAATGACAGGTTAAATCGTAGTATCAATAGTAATCAGCTGATCATAGTAGTAGAATCATTAAGTGTTGCCAACCTATTTCTAAGGGTACATGGATTACGTGCAGAATAAAACCACGCTGTTTTTTGGTTGGAATACTTGTATGCACCGAAGTATAAACCGTGCGACAAAGTAAGTAAATGCAGAAATTAGCAGCTTTTTGTACTGTAATCAGTGCAAGGAAACCAACTTTGTCGGGTTACTGTAGGAAAATTTTTTCTTGTAATTTCAACAATCACAGTCAAACAAAAGAAAGAAATTCAATTTTAGACTTTAGCCCACCCTGTGAGTGACTTTCACAACAATGTTATTTTAATAAACAATTAGATACAGCTGATCCATAAACGTTCACTTCAGTATAAAAAAAGCATTGCAAAAGCCAATGCTTACATAATATAACATGTGATACTAATTACCTCTCCTGTATTACCAGAGAATTACCAGGACCCGACGTTATGCGCAGCAGGCCTGGAGTGTAGGTCGAGACCTCGACCGCGACTGGCCTCACTATCTAGGAATACCTGGTTATAAGTGAACAACCCCAAACCTACCACCGATCAGCTGTAACCTTCAAACAATAAAGGCATTTTGTTTTGTCTGTGATCAATTTTGACCTCCAAATGTATTTTATTTGTCATTACCTTAACTTTAAGACAGTGATCTACTCCATGCGCCATCAGACAGGTCTAACCCATCGATGTAACATCGATAGTCTAACCATGGGTGGAACGGCGGCACGGTGAGGTTGACTATTACCTCACGCAGTTCTTGTCAGGTCACGGCTATTTTCAGTCGTACCTGCACTTGATGGTCAAAATGAATTCACCTGACTGTACAGTATTTTCAGCCCGAGCATTCCCGACGCGGAACATACTTTCTTCCATTGTCCATCTTGGGGTGCTGTCAGTTGAATCTATATGTGAGACCTTGCTGGAGTGGACAACTAACTGAGACTGATGGAGTCACGTGACCACGGTTTTATGTTACACGTGTTTTGCTCTGAAATCTCTTTTCGATTTTCCTAAAATACTTATTTGAGTAAACTTTCATTGTTGTGTGTAGGAATTGGTATCCCGCGTGTACTGTTGTGATTGCCTGGACATAACTCGGTGTGAGCTAAAATGAATCCTAACCTAGTTTTAGGCCAATATTTTGTGAAGCTATAAGGCAAATCCACACGGCTTCTAAAACCGTTTGCTTTACGCTTTACCTCAACGTTTGCTAAACGAAGCGCCACTGTACAGAGGCCTTTGCCACCTATACGGGATACGCGCAGTCACCCCTATCATCGAGAACGTCACAACGCTCGGTACTTAGAGTGATTCTGCAAGTTTGCTACGCCCGCAACTTTTTTTATACTTCCCTCTTGATTGTCGAGTACTGCGTGATTGCGTTTCAACCGTTGAAGGTACTCTCCAGAGAAACCCCAACTGACAATGAACTATAAATGGCATCAAATTAATTCATTGTTATTTTTAAATATTGTTGGTGTGAAAAACAATTTCAACAGAAAAATGTCTTCTTATTTAAGTGTTTTGTCCCGCCACTATGTCTTTGAAAGTGGTTGAAAGTTCTGATAGACAGTATGTAATTTTGGAGTATAAATTTCGCTATTCTGCAAAACTGACTGATGGGACGTTGTCTTGGAGATTTTGTACCAAAGATTGCAATAGTTGGGTTAAAACTGTTTGTGATAAAACTCAAATACTGTAAAAGCATATAAGGTAATTAAAAAACACAGGGTCCAATGTCCTAGCTTAAGACCTACACCCAGCACTAAATCTCGTGCTTCGCAACCAGACAGTACAGAACTTCAGACGGAAAACGTCACAAAATTTGAAATAAAGTAGCTTAAGAGTCCTTGGAGCCTATACGTTCTAACTCATAAAACAATTAAAAAATACAAAGTAAATGTTTTAATCTCACTGTATACTAGATACCTTAATTACTATCACTTAGGTTTTTGAAAAAAATATTTTGAAATGGTAAATAACTTCAGCGGCTGTTTAAAAATAACGAAATTAACATTGCTTTTATGACGGGCAAATCCAAGATGGCCGTTGGCTTCCAAGGACAGCTGTGGCTAATGGATACAAAAGCAGTATGGTTGATAAATTAATCCATAAACATAAACACAAACCACTCACCAGCTGATAAACCTCGTAAATTGTACGCCTCTGCTAATTATGGCAATATCCTTAACAACACCATAAAGAAAGAAGCCAAAAACGATGTCTGTGTATCGTTCACGACCAACAATAGACTTAATTCAATATTTAAAGGGCGTAAGAGCGTCTTGATAAAGCCAATAAGACGGGTTGTGTCCATTTGGCGGTCGTCCATTTACCGGCCAAGGGTAAAATCGTCCATTTACCGGTCAACCGCCAACCGCCGATAACGCGTCGGTATGTTGTACAATGCACCAATAGTATGTGACCAAAAAGTATGCACCCCCACACGTGCTTTATTTTTTGACTAAACAATTCATTTTGCAAAATTAGTTTACCTTTTGTCTGCAAGGTGGTAACACCTACGTGTTGGATAATTACAAAAATCTTAAAATACTAAAGTACTATTTAAGTTCGAATTATATAGTTAGTGGATTTTTGTATTTCGTGTTATTGTTAAGTGTTTTTAATTAAGTGCTACGATGGAATTTATTAAGAATGTAAGGGAGAAGCCAAGTTTGCTTTATAAGGGGTACTCTTATCGGAAATATCGAGAAAATAAACAAGGTGTAGTGACGTGGGTGTGCTCGGCATATGACCAACAACTCAGTAGAAAGGTGGAATCACAAAATTAATATCATTCTTGGCAGACCACACCCAAAAATCAAAGTGTTGGTAAATTATTTGATGTCGGAAGCTGAGATATAAAAAAAAACAAGGATGGAACTCAACTTAGAATGGTTTAAAAGGAAAAAGAAGTACGTTGAGTTAGTACACAACGCTACGAGGACAACGGAGACTTTGAAAATGTTTGAATGTAATGTACTGAAACTAGACTAGATAGCCGATATGAAATGAGGCCGGGTGAAACAGGAAATGACTATTTGCGTTAACTGTACAAATGAAACTTGTATTTTTTCTATTTGTATTATTTTTCGTTAACTTGGTATTTTGTCTTAATTTGGAAAATTTTTCGATTTTCGAAAGTAAAATCGACATCTGCAAACAATCAAGAACTGTTGCTGCTATTGCTGCAAGAAATGTGCATGGAACCTATTCATTCAAAATAGTCAGGTATTCTAGGAATCGAAACCTGACCGCAAAATCGAAACCTCCCGCCCCCTAGAGTCTCCTCACCCCCATACTTGACCGGTAAATGGACTGACCGGTAAATGGACTGACCGCAAAATGGAAGACACTAATAAGACGGGTATATATACAATCAATTGTAATGATTGCCCAAAGTACTATATAGGCTAGACTAATCGCTCATTTAAGCAGCGATTTAAAGAGCACATTTCATCCAAAACAATAGCCCAGCAAAAATCCGCTTTCGCCAACCACATCGCAGACAGTAACCATAATTATTCCAGCCTAGACAACAACCAACATACACACTTTACATAGTTTCCCTAAAAAAAGGACGGTTTTTAGACTGCTTGGAAGAATTTGAAATCTACAAATCCATAAATAATGAGCAACAAAATATTTTAAATGAACAGACCTCTTTCAAGTCCTACATTATCTATGACGCAGCGAATAGAATGGGGCAACAATGCCACCGGCATTCCATAGATAACGGGAGACGAGTAAGGACCAGTAAGGACACCTCAGTCATGACCACGCATCTACCCGTGCCGCGTCGTAGTGTCCTGTGCTTGCCAGTATCTTTGTACATAATGTCCTTCCGTGTTTTCGTGTTTTACGTGTGTGTTTTTGTGATTACCGACGACCTCAATTTGAGTGATATGACATTTTTTAACTGCTTGAGGATGGGATTTTAATCCCGAAACCGGTCGCCAGACGACAACAATAGGATCACTGACGGACAGGTAATATAAAGCATTTTAGTCAACTAATCAGCTGATCAGTTGACAATTTTAATTGTTAATCCGACTTGTTCCTGTTGATACTCGCGTATTCTTAACCTAAGTTGGTGGAAGTTAAAGGAAGGTAGATTAAACTGATTTAAAAAGTTAGTGAAAGCGAAGTTGAGTTGACGAGATGGAAATGAGAGCACAAACTGTTTGTGCTAATCTTTTGCTACCAAAATTGAAACAGAGGTATGAAATGACATACCAGCAATTCATTAAATGGACGAAACAAAAAAAGGTTAAATTGATAAATGAAAATGTGCTTCTAGTTTATTTTGAAAACCTCTTAACCACTTTTCACCCAACTCGTTGTGGACCACATATTCGTGCTAAGATCTAACTGTAAATTAAATGTTTCTCTATATTATTCAGTTGTTCACAAAAATATGCAATATTTCCCTTGCTGTACCTGATACAGTAATTATAGTAAGAATGCTGCTAGCAGAACCTATTCCCTGAAAAGAGTATCGTATTATCTAACGAAGTTTTACAAACACGTCATTACATGAAATCAGCTGATTATACAATAAGTCGTTGCATAACTTTCAGTGGCAATGACAATAAACACAAATAAGAAGTTATAAGTAGTGAATGTTAGTAATTAAAAACCAGATTGTTAGTAATAAAAAATGGTCGTAGGTAAAGTAGTGTACGCAACTCGCGTTAATAGTCTTTACGCAATTTTTGCGTAAACTACTATAACACAAAGTAGCGTTAAAAATATTACAAATATTATTTACCATAGCTTACACTTATGATATAACTTGAATTAGTACTCATTGTAGTGAAATACAAGCTGACACATTAACTCATAACAGTTCCTTATAATGTAATTTATTTTGACATGAACCAATTCATAATTTAGGAAAAACTCATTTCCATATAAGTCTGTTAACCTAGTTTTCATACTTGCTATATACAAAGCTAGAACAATAGACTAAACATCACATATTGCAAGATAGAGATTTACCTCAGGGTTATTTGGATCATTTGTACATGTTGGTAGACAAAGTTTGTATATATAAAGTAGATTGTATCTCTACAATGTATTATACGCTTACATTGTGTAAAGTCAAACCACGTTCAGCTTTATATATGAGACCGCAAATCAACATTGCTGGGTACAGTGGTGGCAGAGAATTTCAGATTCTATTCCTGGCCTTTTCGAGGACCATGTAAAGTCAATCTGTAAATCATATATCTTAAATATTAGCGTTTTTATTTTCAAAAGACTAAACTAGGATAAAATCATAACTTAGCCTACTCATCAATTAACTTGAACTAATTTCCACAGACTGGATAAATAATGTATGATTACAACTAATTTTACTACATTGAGCTGGTAAGAAAAAAAATCAACAAACTTAAGAACACCTAATAAAAAGGAAGAAAGGAAATGAAAATCCCACCTTGTTAATTGATGTGGGATTTCTCCTCCCGTTAGAGATTTAACTTTTTTCTGCTCGAATAAACCTGTTACATCACGTTGTTGGATGGCTTTTTACCTCTTTGAAATTGTTTCGTACAATATTATGTCAATTCTCTCTTCAATGAGCATGAAAT